AAACTATATCCCTCAAAAGGGAAACAATGGACACACGCCAACAATCATGCACACACACACACACACACACACACACACACACACACACACACACACACACACTTACAAACACACACATACACAAACACACGCTCATACATTCATATTCATCCACAGACACACTCTCACGCGCAGGCACACACATACACACATACGCGCACACCTACACACACATAACTGGGGTGGTGGGGGTTGGGGGATGTGGGGGCGGATGGGAGGTGCTTCTGGGGTTGGTTTTTTTTTTTTTTTTTTTTGGCCTAGGGCCACATGTTTCGGATCCTGCGCATCAATTCCGTTTTTCCGAAAAGCGCAGGCGCGGCCCATTTTCGTGTTTAACGCGAATTCAACGGGATTTTTTTGAATTTAACGGGATTCAACGGGAGTTTAATTCCCCCATTCCGCGTTAAAAAGATACACAGTATACTGGTGTCGCGTCTAAAAAATGGGACCCGCAAAAATAATTAAAGAAAAGTTAAAAATTACAAATACGAACACCGAAAGAGAGTGTTTTTGAGGAAGGGAGACCGTCGGTACCCTTTTCAGTTCCGCTGACCCCTTCCGCAGGTGGGCCGTCAACAAAACCACGAGGGATAGCCCTGCCGGGCCCTCAACCCCTTGGCATCTTCAACCGCTCCAATGCTCCATCGCCGCCGGTCGCCATCCTCGATCCCTGTACCTCAACTCCAAAAGTCCAATGTCGTAACCAATAGTGCCATGCCCAAGGCTGGCATTGACAGCCACACAACTCCATATAAACAGGTTCCACGTACTGCACGGTCACACTGGAACGCCCCAAGCCAACGCCTTGCTTTACCGATCCAAACCTACGGCCGCCACGCCCTGCCACTCACCACAAGAAGGGCCTGGCTCTGCTCATAAACGTCGTACGCACCACTCCTTACCTCAAAACCAAGCCTTTTCCTTCCTAGCGGTAGAAAGCTTGAACTTTTATCTATGCCACCCTCCGTACTTGTGTACGCGCCACAAACAATTGCGCACCGATCAAAAAGGAAAAAAAATCATTTAGTCCTGATTAAATCAAGATCAAAGTTAACCGACAATTGTGTCGGTTCTATAATATCAACAAGAACTGATCACGCGCGCCTCAAAGTTGCGCGCCCATGCACTCTTTATTTCTGATCAACCACTCTGTCAGTGTAAAACTTATTTTTTATCACTTGCAAAAGCCAGGGCGGATACCCTTGTAAGGGTATTCACACCGACAGCGGATCGGGAAAGTCTGAGACATCGACGGTTCTGGAAATACTGGGAGTGGAAAAACCCCTGTCTCATCGCGCGACCTTGACCCGACCCTCTGGAATTCCCCTTTTTGACCGGAAACGAACGAATCTGTGAATGGGACATTGAACGGGCCTTAAGCGTGATCCCTTTCCCCTCCCAATTCCCCAGTACACACTCGAGCCACGTCATCGCCGAACCAGGTGTCGTCATCATTGAGACAGCCTTCCCTCCCTACCGCCTCGTGTTGCCTTTTCACTTCCTAACAGCAGTCCCGCACTCACGCAGGATGCATCTGCATGTCACTGGTCCTGCCAGACCCGCTATATGTCCCAGGTAAAGCACCAGTGGACGCAGATTGCTGCACTTGCTATATCTACCTTGTACCCCCTTCGGGTACGCGTCCAGCAGCAGTGCTGATTGCGTACGCGAATCTACAGGCCAGCATGCATTCAAGTCTGTCAGCCGGGCTCAGAAGAGAGTCATTTCTACCACCCACCCTCGATTTTCCGTGGTGTGTGGGCCTGCGGCCCCATCTCCTAGACTCTCTTCTACTGATACTGAATCTGGCATCATCAGGGGCATGGTGCATTTTCCTATTTTATCTGGCTAAGACCTGGACAAGAAATGGCCAAAACGGCACCATACATCCGTTCTCGGGGATACGCAGTTATTAAAAAAAGAAAAATATAGTAAAAGAAACGGCCATCAACCCCTTCCAAAGGTCAACGGGGCCCGTGCCGTGGCCGTCGCTCGAGTCAACCCTGGGCTGAACTTTCACTGCGGTAGGATAGGAATGGGGCGAATGAGCTCAGATGTGAACCGATTGCTTGCAGCCGTCAAGATTACCAATCTGCACGGTAGACAATCATATCGGCTTCAGTCGGAGCTCATGCTGCTGCTACCTGCCGTAGTGGGATTTCACCCGAGGCGGGAAAGGTTCTCTACTCTAGCTCCCGCAGTGGAATTTCACCCGAGGCGGGAAAGGTGTTTCTCTGGACCTCGCTGCTCTCCTTGGACTTGTTAACTGCTGCCGCTGGAATAGAACGCATTGGCATTACCTTTTTTTTCTTTTTTTATATACTATAATGCACATTGACCTGACATTAATGTCGAGACGTGGGGATGATGACACCACACGTCATGACAGTAGGCTGGAAGACGAGGAAAAGAAAACGTCGGCTTACGTGGTTTGTACTCCACGTGTTCTTTTCTCGCAGTCGAGGCAATTCAACCTGTGCTGCGAGTACCTCATGGCGCACATGCCAAGTGATGATTGGGTGATCGCACAAGTTCAACCGTCTCGACGGTTGCCCTCGACTTCTCCGACTGTAGGATTCTTCAAGAGTGTGTGTCTATCTTGGGGCGTCGCTCCAGCACACAACACTTTGGACGGTTTCTGGAATGGATACGTTGAACATTTGCACCTGGTCCAGAAAACGTCAAAATGCATGTAGAGTGTCGTGGGATTCGATCGAGGGCACCTGGTCCAGAAAACGTCCAAATGCATGTAGAGTGTCGTGTAGTGGAGCGACGCCCTGTGCGTGATTGACCCTTCAGCAGTAGGAGCGTGGTTCCCAGGAAGGATAGCCGACCAAGGTAAAGGTACTCGGGCTACGGGTAGGCAGCACTCACTTCGAATAAATACCCGCGCTGGCCGACTGATTTTGTAGCGTCGCAGATCGTGGCAACTGGCGGCAGCGGCAGGTGCTGTAGGCGGGCAACGGCATTTGTCGAGGACCCTTCCCGCGCTCTTCGTTTTGACTCCTGGAGGGGAAGAAGGCGGAAGGCGGTCTTGGCGGGAAGGAAGACGGAATTCGCCGTTCGTTGCCGCTCTCGGTGAGACAGAGGAGGGAATCAAGGCGCTGTTCATTGCGGCTCTCGGCGGGAAGAAAAAGGCGGGATAACCCTTTCCGGGCTCTTCGTTTTGACTCCTGGAGGGAAAGAATGCGGAATCCGGTCTTAGCGGGAAGGAAGACGGAATCCGCCGTTAGTTGCCGCTCTCGGTAAGACCGAGGACGGAATCAAGGCGCTGTTGATTGCGGCTCTCGGCGGGAAGAAAAAGGCGGGATAGAACAGAGTCGTGCTGAAAGTTGCGGCTCTGGGGCGACACAGAAAGAGACACACACAGAGAGAGAGAGAGAGAGAGAGAGAGAGAGAGAGAGAGAGAGAGAGAGAGAGAGGCTCTGGGGCGACACAGAGAGAGAGAGAGAGAGAGAGAGAGAGAGAGAGAGAGAGAGAGAGAGAGGAGAGAGAGAATACGAAAATGGCTTACGCAGGTGCTAAGTACGCAGATGAGTTGATCGCTACGGCGAACAAGATCGCTACTCCCGGTAAAGGTATCTTGGCGGCTGATGAGAGCACGGGGACGATTGGCAAGAGGTTGGCGAGCATAAATGTGGAAAACGTGGAGTCTAACAGGAGAGCACTAAGGGAGCTGTTGTTCACCGCTCCTGGTGCTTTGGATCACATCAGCGGTGTCATCTTGTTCGAGGAGACGCTGTTCCAGAAATCCGCGGCCGGCAAGCCCTTCGTTGATATCTTGAAGGAAGCGGGTGTGGTGCCCGGCATCAAGGTGGACACCGGTGTTGCCCCACTTGCTGGTACCAACGGCGAGACTACCACCCAAGGCCACGATGGACTGAGTGCCAGGTGTGCTAAGTACTACCAGCAGGGCGCTCGCTTCGCCAAGTGGCGTGCTGTGCTGAAGATCGGCGATGGATGTCCTTCTCCTTTGGCCATCCAGTCCAACGCCGAGGGGTTGGCCCGTTACGCGTCTATCTGCCAGGAGAACGGTTTGGTGCCAATCGTAGAGCCCGAGATCTTGATGGACGGTGCGCATGACATAGAGACGTGCGCCGCTGCGACGGAGAAGGTGCTGGCCGCCGTGTACAAGTCTCTCAACGACCACCATGTGTTGTTGTTGGAGGGCACGCTGCTGAAGCCTAACATGGTGATGCCAGGAACGGAGGCGGCGGCCAAGGCGCCGCCGGAGGTGGTGGCAAAGTACACGGTTCGAACCCTGCAACGGACAGTTCCCGTCGCCGTACCGGGGATTATGTTCCTGTCGGGCGGGCAGAGCGAGGAGGAGGCGACGCTCAACCTCAACGCGATAAACGGGTTGGCGACGAAGAAGCCATGGACGCTGTCCTTTTCGTATGGAAGGGCTCTGCAGGCGAGCACGCTCAAGACTTGGGCCGGCAAGACAGAGAACGTCGAGGAGGCGCAGAAGGTCTTCCGTGATCGCGCCAAAGCTAACGGGGAGGCCACTCTTGGCAAGTATATTGGTGATGCCGGCGGGCGGACAGCATCCGAGAGCTTGCACGTGAAAGATTACAAGTACTAAGAGAGAGAGAGAGAGAGAGAGAGAGAGAGAGAGAGAGAGAGAGAGAGAGAGAGGCTTGCGTTTGTTACTGAATGCAGCATGTGAGCCTGCTTTGATCGATGGTCGCCAGCGAGCATGTTGACCATAGAATTGGCTATGTGTGTGTGTGTGTGTGTGTGTGAGAGAGAGAGAGAGAGAGAGAGAGAGAGAGAGAGAGAGAGAGAGAGAGAGAGAGAGAGAGAGGCTTGCGTTTTGCTACTAAATGCAGCATGTGAGCCTGCTTTGATCGATGGTCGCCAGCGAGCATGTTGATCATAGAATTGGCTGCTCTTGAGAGAGAGAGAGAGAGAGAGAGAGAGAGAGAGAGAGAGAGAGAGAGAGAGAGAGAGGCTTGCCCTCTGCTATTGAATGCAGCAAGTGGGCCTGCTTTGATCGATGGTCGCCAGCGAGCATGTTGACCATAGAATTGACTGCTCTTGAGATAGACCGTCTTCCCCCGAATATAACGAACGTATCTGTGCAGTCTATTCGGGTGAATAGCGCACGTATCTAGACTGAAAATTGGCCCGAAGTACAGTGCGGTCTGTTTGGGTGAAGACATTAGGATGGCGAGAGGGAGTTGTATGATTGTATCCGACTTCAAGTCGACGATATGTTAGAGCGCAACGACCTCCACCTGTTGCACGTTCTTGACAAGCTGATACATGTTTGTTCTTTTGGCAATTCATCTTGTTACTCTTTACGGACTCCAATCATGTAGTTCGTAATCTGGATTCAAATGATGTGGTTCGCGTAATCAAATCACGTAGTCTGGATTCAAATCTCACGTAGTTTAGTAATTTGTAATCAAAACGTTCTTGACAAGCTGATGCATGGTAGTTTTTTTGACATTCATCTTGTTACTCTTCCGGATTGCAATCATGTAGTTCGTCATCTGGATTCCAATGGTGTGGTTCGCGTAATCAAATAATGTAGTCTGGATTCAAATCTCACGTAGTTTAGTGATTTGTAATCAAAACGTTCTTGACAAGCTGATGCATGGTAGTTTTTTTTACAATTCATTTTGTTACTCTTCCGGACTCCAATCATGTAGTTCGTCATCTGGATTCCAATGGTGTGGTTCGCTTAATCAAATCATGTAGTCTGGATTCAAATCTCACGTAGTTTAGTAATTTGTAATCGGAACCACGTGATCTGTAATCAAATCATGCAGTCTTGAGCTCGAAGCATGTTGTTCGATATCAAATCATGGTCATCAAATAGTTGTTCGTCATCGAATATTGTCGTCTGGAATCGGATCATTTAGGTCGTAATCGAGTCGTGGACTCGTGGTCATCAACTACTGTCTTCACCCGAACACAACGTCTCTTTGTTGTTGTTTTTTTTGTTTCTTTATTTGTTTTTTTTGGTGGAATTCTCTTTCTTTTTCTCTTCTCCAATCGAAGTGGCCGACAATTTTCGTGTGGTCTTTCTGGGTTCGCAGCAGAGGGCGTACGTTTTTCTTATCTTTTTTCGTTTTTTGTTCTTTTTCCTGTTTTTTTTTCTTTTTTTCTTTTTGTTGGAATTGTCTCTTTGTTTGCTTTCTTTCTTTGTTGTCTCTTTTCTTTGCTTTCTCTCGCAGTCTTTGTGCTTTTCATTTGTGGATCAGATATTATGCGGACCGTAACAGAGAGCCGAAAGGCCGAAAAATGGGTTCATATTCTTTGTGGTGAAGCGAAGTCAAAGTCAAAGCTGTAAAACGGGCTCGATCGAGCATGACGTATACCGAATTTCAATTTTGCTGGGATGGGAGACAATGCATTTATTCTCAGTGCAGAGCAGCATGATAGACGACGCTTGCCTTTTTTTTTTTTTTTTTTTTTTTTTTTAAAMAAACGCCGAGGTTATTAAATTTGTAATCACGCTTGTTTTTTGGTTGTCTTGAGATGCCATCATCGAACTGACCGGCCCTGCGTAATTCAATTCTTCATGCAGAACGGCTTTTTTTTCTTTGGTGGGGGGGGGGGGGGGAAGGGTAGATGCACTAATCGGCAAATTAATCTGAAAACGGGGAGTGCTATTGCTGTGATTTAATGCTTTTTTTCAATCTTTATTTTAGCTGAAAGGTGCATTTACCATTTTCTGGTGGGCTTTTCCGTAGAACTCGATAGAAGTGAACACAGACAGAGGCAGCGGCAAGTGTTCACATTTTGCCACGACCTCCTGAAAAAGTTGTCTTTAAAAATAAAAAAAAAAGAAAAAGACGTTGAGTCAGTGCAACTCGACGGAAGAGTTAAAAGTATCGGCGTATAGTTACTGCCCCTCGTTCGGTATTCTCTTTAGAGTCTTCTCCCTCTCAGCCTACCGTTCGCCGTAGGCAGTTCTGAATCCCGATGAGTGTAGATTGTGGGCCTCGCTCCGCAACTCTCGAAATGTGCAAAAGGCGAGTGAATCTTCCGCTGGAACAGGGGTAGATACCCCGCCATGCTTTTTGTCCTTGGTGGACGTCAAGAGTAATGGAGCGAGGCCGTATATCGTCGGTTAGGAGACATTTGGAATTACAGAGTGCAGCAGCGTGCAGCAGCGTGCTGGTCTCTATGATGACGATGTATGCATGTATGCATGTACGCATACCAATTTCTGTGTTTCGGAAACAGCCGACTCTTTCGGAAAGAGTTCATGTCGGACTCAGAGATCAAGATGCGGATCACCCAACACATAAGACACATTATCTCCAGTGATTGGTTCAGACACTGCAGAAATTCGTATGGCACAGCTTCGTCAAGAAAATGGTTTCTTGAAACATGGGGAAGGGATATGCGCCTGGCTAAGTTTGGACATGAAAGGCAGACTGCAGCTGTGTCCCTGGCTCGTTTCACCTTTGGGTTTTGGGGAGCGAGTTAGACACCCCCCATAGGTTAGAGTGGGGCTAGTAGTCAGGAAAATACCTGAGTTCCGAGAAATGACTAGCGTCAGGCTGTGCCTCAGTGGAAATGTATCACCTTTTTTTTTTTTTTCATTTTTGAGAGTCACACGTCAGGGGAACCTGGACCCGGTCCCAGGAACCTTTCACCGGGTAATGGTCCCAGGAACCTTTCACCGGGTAATGGTCCCAGGAACCTTTCGCCGGGTAATGGTCCCTGGCACCTTTCACCGGGTAACGAGAGTCAAATCTGGGTAATGGTCCCAGGAACTTTTCACCGGGTTGTTTTGTGAGGGATTCCCGGCCGTGTCTGGGTTTTTCTGATAATATAAATTGTTGTTTTCTCTCAAAAAATATATATATATTAAAAAAAAAAAAAAAAAAAAAAAAAAAGATACGTTGATCTGTGGGATGTGTTATTTGCTTTGTGATAATTGGATTATCTTTCTTTCCCTATCTTTCTTTCCCTGTCAGGTTTGGTTTCCTCCTCCCCTTCTTTACCTCTTTGCCTTTTGGCTGCGTGCAAGTGGGTCCTTGTGACACACGGGGATGGGGGCAGCCAGCGCTCAACCTGTCATCCACGTGGCTGGCCTTGTACGTAAGAGGTTATGAACAGGTGGAGCTTTCCTTACCTCCTTCCCCTTTCCCTTTTTTCCTTTTCCTTTTTTCTTTTCCCTTTTTTGCGCTCTGATTCACAATGTGACAATATATGTTTCTGTACACGCGTATATGACCCCCGCCGCACTATATTCCTTTTTTTTTTTATTAAAAGAAAGGGCGATGGCCTTGAGATATTATCATTGAGCTGACCGGCCCCAAACAATTCATTAGTAGTTGGTTTTACTCGTCTACTCGTCAAGTTCCATCATGTGGATTCGAATACAGGTCTGTATTTCAACAGTTCATGGGTGTACCCACTGAGCTAGGCTCTTGGGTGCCGTAGTATATTCAGCAAAAGCGTAGGAGGTGGTCTTTTTTTTTTTTTTTTTTCAAGCGTAGGAGTTTTGGAGAGCTGCTGTGGATGATTTCGAGAGGGCGAGATAGACTGAGCTTTAGGCCGCAGATATTGGGGAACTAGGTTCCACTCGGTTGGATAGACTGAGCTTTAGGCTGCAGATAGGCCTAGGTATTAGGGTTGGACCCCACAGCTTTGCGGACTGGAAAAGTTTTGCCGCGGAACTTTTCCGGTACCCCACAGCCGTGCGCGGAATGCCTGGAAGACCCTTTTTTTTCCGCGGAATGGTTTTCCGGGACCCCACATCCCGGGATCGTTGGTGTGGAAGAACGGGATTTGACGTTTCCACATGGTTTCCAACTCGGAAAAGTTCCGCGGGAGTGATTTTCGACGCGGAATTGTGCAGGGTAGCGAGGGTAGGGGTCGGTGATGTCCTCAAGGTTTCCAAGGTTGCGGAGGGTGGTCGGACTTTCGATTGTCCGTGACTCGTAGAGCATTGGTTCCTGGAACATGTTCGGCCATCCGAACCGTGTCACCCACTGCACGGCACTGGCCGGTTTGTCCGACAAGATGGAACGAAGTTGTGGTCCCCCACCAGAGGCTCCGGCAAGCGCGGGATGCCCCGCCACAATTTCAAAATACGAATTTCGAATTCCTGTTCGCCCGCGGTGCCGTTGGCATCAACATGCAGTAGGGAATCATCTGTCGGGTGGACGCACAAGCTTCTCATGACCTCAAGTGACGAGCGCGGCTGCATGGAGTTCATATGTGCGCATTGCCATCGCTGCTGACCGACCATATCCGCCCCTCCTCAGCAGCAATCTCCATGCAAAGAGCTGCGTACCTCCACCACCGTGTCGAGGCGTGGTCGTTGGTTCGCGACCACGCGCGTGGTTTGGGTCGGCGTTTCCTGCACATCGGGAGGCCGTCGGAGGTGAGTTACGTCCCGTGTGGCGGTCGCCGAGAACGACGCACGGCGGGGCGATGTGACTACGAGCTAGTTCCACGACGGTGTTCTCACACCCCTGCGGCAGACGTGTACTCCGTCCAGCGTGCTTCCCGTTCGTCCTCCATACCGGGTGCTTGGAGAACGTGGTCACAAACACATGCCGACATCGTTCCTGCCGTGCCCCGAGTGATTCCACAGGAAACGATTCGTGGCAGTCCTGTGCAAGATCGGGAGGGAGGGGCTCTTCGAAGGAAAGAGGGAGAACATTGCGTGAAGGTGGCGGCAGTCCCGTATCCCTTGCGAGATTCCGCATGTGTGCATGAAGTGCCAGACGGCAGCAACGTGCCTATTGTCATCATTTTTGGTGGGAAGCAACGCTGCCCATGTGCTACTGTCACAGGAGTCCTCGTCTGGGCGTTTGTTGTGTGTGCGGCTCTTGTTTTTGCTCTGCTAGCGCTGCTGGTGGTGTGTGCATCCGCAGTTGTGGTAGCCGTCCTGTGGAGACGCCCGTAATCTCCGTGTGCGATTGCTCATGCGAGGTGCGGGTTGTGGAGCACCACGTATGGAGGGCCGCACTTTCACATCGGAGCTCTGTGGAGACATCGGAGAACCAGCGAACATGGGCATTGGGGATGTTGTCGGCACCCAGTTCGAGGGCGGCAGATATAGGGCGAGGCCATCTGCACAGTCGTGGCACTCTATTGATGACCCTCCTTCCACCTTCGTGCCTCAAACACACGACGGTGTGCACGCTTCGAACAACCGACCCTCTCTCGCCATGCCCATGACGGATGTATCGTCAGGTGGAGGTCGGGGGACGTACCCGACGACAGTGTACGAGTTCGGCACGCAGCAGGGTTCGAGCGGGACATATGGGCAATGTGCGCAGCAACCTCATGTGCGGGGATTACCTGCAAGGACAGAGTCCCCCAGATGGGGGTGTGGTCCCGAGCATTCTGTGCAGGCGTCGCAACATCGCCTGCAAGGTCTTCCGCCACTCTCTCCGCCGCTCACTAGACGCACAACGACAGTGGGTGAAGACAGCACTCCCGGGCAGGAGAGGGTGCAGCAGACTGCAATCGGTGCAGCGGGCACCCGGAAGGAGGGAGGGCCAGCATGTGGGGCCGGCATGGGGAGTGAAGAGGAGCAGCAGCAACCGGGGATTGCGGAGCACATTGCGGACCAACTTCAAAGGCCCCGCTCTGTGCTGCCAATGGCTGGCGAAGGACGGAGTGCCGCATCCCCGAGTGCGGCCAGTGCTGGGGAGAAGAGAAAGGCTCCGAAGCCAGCGCCACCTGCGAAGAAAAACACCATCTGAACGTTGGAGGAGCGAGTGCTTCTGGCGAAAATAAGCGGCGAGGATGATGCTCTCATAGCCAACGTAGAAGGTGCTCACCAGCATATGACCAGAGGCAGGCGCTACGACTGGATAGTGGACCGGATGAAAGAGGAGGGGTACACACGCACGTGGGAAGATTGTCGAAAGAAATGGGCGGAGCTGACAAAGAAAGTGAAGGAGATCAGAGATGCTTGCGATGGATCTGGCAAACCGACGCATTGGGAGATTACAACCGAGATAAAGAAGAAGTTGGGCATCAGCATGACTTTCGAGAGGCCGTTGTGGGATGCCATGGAGTGGTTCCGTACCAAGGCTGCATTCGTCATGTCGAACACCATGGCATCCGAGGAGTTCAGACCGGGCGGGTGTACGACAGTGAACGACGCTGACTCCGAAGGAACAGGGACGGAAGCTTCGGATAGCGCAGCGAAGGTCCGTAGGACGTCCTCTGGCAGGAGGCGTGGAGGAGATTCCACAGCTTCATCTTCAGGTTTGGTTGCAGCCATGGAGGAGTCGACCTGTTCACTTTGTGATGGTCTGGACAGGGCAGCCTCAACGCTGGCTCGAGCATCTTCTGAAGGGGCTGCTATGGTGGCCGCAAGGATCGGGGATGTGGCCACGGAGATTGGGCATGTCGTGGGGCCAATGCGGTAGGGAAACTCTGTATTGGAAATGTTGGTGGGAGTGATGGCGGGCAGAGGACTCGGAGGAGGCACGACATCGCAGTAGGTAGGGGGGGGGTGGGGGGGGGGGGGGGGGGGGGGGTTGGGGGGGGAACCCCCCTTGCACATAGCTGTCGGAGGCGTGGACAGGGCCGTGGTCCTTGATGCCTTGAGTAGTGGTGGCGGGGGTTTGTTTTTGGTGTTCGTTGTAGAATCGAGAACGGAGTCCCCGTTGTGTTTCGTCCTCACGCAACGCAAAATGAGAAATCGAAATAAAGAAGTTGAAAAAAAAAAGTTTGTTGTTAAATAGCGACTTCAAATGGATGTCGCTATCAGCACAGTCCATGGTCGTGTCTGTCGCAGGAACGACCACCGCCACGGGACCACCAGGCAGGCAGGCAGAGGAAATTGTCCGCGCAACCGCTCGCCAGTCGTCGCAGCAAGGGAGAGGTTGCAGGGGGCGACAATGGAGCTGGAATGGCGATGACGATGGCGGACAGCACGAGGATGCACGACGCGCAAGCCGAACCGCACACACGTATTTCGAGCGCCGATTTGAATTTCTATATATGAGGAAAGAAAAAAAAAAAAAAAAACATACGTTTGCGGTTCGGCTCCTGCAAATGAACAAACGTCCATCTCCCCAACGATCGGTCCGCACGCCAACGTGGTGCATGGACGGGCCCGGCACAACCACGGCCTCTGGTGACGCAAATACGTTGGGAGGCCTGTCACATAGCGTCCACCGACCGTCGCTCGATGTCGCTCACTGGACCGGGCCGGTTTTTCCTGCGGTCCTTGCGAAAACGCACGGGCATTGCACCGCTTTTCTTTTCCGGAAGTCCCAACCACGCCTTTCCTTTTACGGAAAGGAAACAACATAGTTTGCCGCAAAACAGCATCCGCGGTGGGAACCCCCGAAAACACTTTTGCGAGCTTTCCAAGATGCTTTGCCCACTTCTCGTGGGAAAACCATTTTTCCATCCGCAAAGCTGTGGGGTCCAACCCTTAGGAATGAATGGGCCTCCGTAGGAGATAGGTTCAGGGTTATTTCTATAGCCAGAGTGAAGACGGGTGAGAAAAAGCAGTATAGAAGTCTGTTGATGAAACTCCAAGTAAATGAGTTGCATAAGCTAAACCGGCTGATGCTGCCGGGATAACACCAGGTAGAATTGTGAGGTCCCCGGACTCGGTTTTTTCTCATTGAAATTTGACACCGGGGGGTGAGATCCCACTGGCAAAGAGGATTGTAGTAAGTGTCTGAATGTGGACGTGTTTGTGGACAGGTGCGAAAAATTGTGATTGATCTACTTCTCTGCACCTCTGCATGGAACACGTCCAGATTCAGACACTTCTTCCAATCCTCTTTGCCAGTGGGATCTTGCCCTAAAGGTTTTCGAGAGGTTTGGGTTTTTCACAACTCGAATTCTTTTTTTTTTTTTTTTTTACTTTGGAAGAACTCAAAATGCATTATAAAATCGGAGGATGAGGTCAGGAACCCTCAACAAACATCCCGGAGAGGGGGCTGGGACCATTACTCAGCATAGGCTCAAGCTGAAAATCGGGGTCCAGCGTCCCATCCACTCCCTTTCCTAAGAGATCTTCCAAAAGATCAACCTTGAAGCTCAGGAAAAGAAAGGAGAGACCTTTCTATCCTACAAATACAATGTTAAGCTCATGAAAGGAGAGACCTTAAATCGGTATTTCTACTGTAGTGAATGCATAGGCATCCCACGCTTAACTGCGTTATAAAACCCTCATTCGACCAACCTATCCAGGAATACTAGCACCTAACAATCCAACTGGGCCTAAACATGGCCCCCTGGTCTAAATGTCGGTCAGACTTAATCATGAGTATCGAACAACCAAGAACACGAGGACATTCTTCCTTCAACGGTGACAGATGCCAAACGTTTATCCTTAACCCATGTTTTTTGAAACCAAACCAAGTTCTGTACCAAATCAAAGGGTCCCCCCCACTATCTTGTGCTAATGGTACTTCCACCACATCAACAGCTCATCAACCAAGGGGCAATACAACCATATGTGAATCATATTCTCCCACCCCCAATTACAACACAGGCATTGAACTGGGATGTCCATTCCTTTTGCAGAAAGCCACATTGCCATCGCTGTCACTAATAAGGACTGGAGCCACATAATACTCGCATGTTTCTGGATTGGGATTTTCATCAGCGCCTTCCACTGGTCCCGAACTCCTTGTTCAAAGACCCCTGTCAGCTGCTGCGACTCAGCCCTTTTCAAGGCCAGAGTAGTGGCCGACTTACCCAGGCAAGCCTGTTGAACCTGTACCCCCACCTCAGGTCTATATTGGAGCAGAGGAGTAAACTTTCCCCGAATGCTCCAACCCTGTAGGAGCGGTTCTGCCCGAAATCGATTAGCCGGTCCAAATAAGTTGGCCCCCTGTCTTCCCTGCCTCACTGTTTGGTGTAGCACCCTTACTTCCTCCAAATGCGTGGTACTGTCCATCCTAATATCTTCCAATTCCAACTTGAGCTTTCCCGTCTTATTCACCTGGGCATGACCCGGTAAACGCCACACCTGCACCCTCATACTTGAAACCAGGTCTGGGCCCAAAACTCGGATGAACTGGGATGGGTGGTCGTCCGACTGTAACCAAGTATCAGCAGCATTCTCAGATGAAGAAGAAAGCAAATGAATCCACGGATCTGGAATTGCTGCCAAAAGTTTCGTCTTGTGTTGGTCCACCTTGTGGAGCCTTGGCAGTCTCTGACGTAGCTGTGCTGCGTCCAAAAGGGTGTTTCTCGTATGATCCCATAAATCCCGAATCTGCATCACTCCTTTCTTTACCCAGGCTTTGCCAAAGCCTCCTGGTGTGTCTGCCGCTGTAAAAGGATGGCCATCAATATAGAGGATTCTTTCGTTATCAAATAGCAGTTGATTAAGCACTTCGTGCTTTGTAGTTGGGGCCAGTGTACTCGTAGGCCTAACCTCATTCCAGGCAATCAGAATATTCCCCACAACTTCGACGTAGGCTTCGTCTTGCAAAAGGAAGGCAAAAGCAGACATAACCAAACTTTTGCCCTGTCCTGCAGCTCTCATTCTCTTCCCATAATATATTCTGCGAATGACATCCATATCTTGCAGTAGGGCTCCAACATTGCTAGCACCGGTCATTTGGACAGGAGCGCATCGTTCTGCTGGAGGGGGTCGAGGATCCTCATGCCCCCTTCTTTCCTTGGAGCAGCTATCACATCCCATGCCACCTTTGATAGGTAGCCTTGGTCTGCAGTGGCCTCCGGTCTCCATAAGTATCTTTCTGATGTGTTCTTTATCTTTCGATATGCCTTTTGTCCCAATTTGTGCACCGATAACGGAAACCACAGAATAGACAGAGCGGTTCCTGATAAAACCAGTGCCCTTCCAAACAAGGACAAGTGTTGGTGTCTTTCCCAGCTGGCAATGCGGCCCAGCACTTTGTCTGCCAAAATGTTATCTTGAATGTCTGCATACTCGGACAAGGACACTTGCAATCCCAAAAATCTGTCAGTTGAGTTAGCAGGCACTAATTGCAGGCCCCAGTTGACACATAGGGTGTGAGATGGGTGGAGGAAATAAATAGATTTATCCCAATTGATAGAGGCCTCAGATAACTCACAGTAGACATCTATAACTTTTCTGAGTTCTAACATACAATCTGGAGTATTCCTGCAGGCAACAGTCAGATCATATGCTAAGGCCTCCCCCTTCCATTGGAATGAGGGGGACAAATGCAAGCCATCTATTCTCCTGTTGGTTCGAATATTACCCTGGAGGATCTCAAGTTGGATCACAAATATCAAGGGGGCCAAGGGACAGCCCTGCCTCAGCGAGCGGGACAAGCCAAATTGCTCAGCGGTTTCCCATTCACAAGTACAGTGGTTGTAGCCTCGGCGTACATAGCTTTAATCCAGTTCCGAAATTGTGGCCCGAACCCCATGTGCAGGAGAGTTGTGTTGACAAAGGTCCATCCGACCTTGTCATACGCCTTTTCCATATCCAACATGAGAATAGCTACGTTTCTTTTCTCCTGGCTGATAACTTCTAGAGCTTATATTGTTGCTAAAATATTATCAAATAGAGAACGCCCCTTAATAAAGGCTCCCTGCTCGATAAGTATCAGTGCGGGAAGGACAGGGGTCAAACGTAAAGCCAGTACCTTTGCAAGCAATTTATAGGAGACGTTCAAAACCCAAATAGGTCGTCAATTCCGAATTTCCTTTTTGTCCCCTTTCTTGGACATCAGTGAAATCATTCCCTTGACCATCCCCCGTGCTAATAAGCCTGAAGAACGAGTCATATTGAAAATATCACAAAAGAATTGGTCAAATGCGTCCCAGACCCGCAAGAAAGAACTCTATAGGCAATCCATCAGGACCGGGACATTTGCCTTTTGCCATTTGTTTGGCCGCCCTAGTCACCTCCTCCAAAGTGATTGGACTGTCAAGTTTCACGCCTAGTTGAAGGGGGATCTGTTTAGAGTTGCAGTCCCAAAATGAGTGGAATTTCGCAAGGTTAGAGTGGAAATCGTCGAAAGGGCGCCTGGTTGTTACTATATCTTGAAAATATGCCATTGCGTACCTACATTGGTTTTCCGTGTCCGTGGGGGATGGGATAACTCACGCATGACAGGTTTGACTTTCTGCAGAATAAGAGAGCGAAATGTTTCCTTTGTCATTCTATCATGCCCCAGTATTCCTTTTATTCACAGCCACTCCTGCCAATTAGCCTGCTTATTAATTTCCATTTCTTTCCAGTCGGCCAAGGCAGCCGTCCTTTTCGTCGACCACAGATACTCCAAGAAGGGATCTGACCCATCATAGGCATCTGCTTGTTCGATTACTTGACACAATTGCCTTTCCTTCCAGTTACTAGCAGCAACTTTCATTCTTGAAAACTCAATCATTGTTGCTTGCAGAATGTCAATCCCCGCATCGGCTCAGGCCTCATAACTATCAAACAAATCTCTAGCTAAAGGTCAATCCTTCATTTGAGATTTACCCATTGGGGGATACCCGGATAC